AAAGGCCTTTGCTCCACTGTTGCTCAGAAAACTGAACTGGTTTTACCTATTATTTTCAGACAAACCTCACATTGAATTTGGTGCTGTGTCCACAGCATACAAAGGCTTGTAAAGAGGAATCCCCCCCTTACCTTGAAGCTGGCCGGAAGCCTGCTAAGCTATCTATCCTCCTGACAGTGCAGCACTGTATGGGAACAGCAGCTCACAGGCTGAAAGAATTAAGGCTTTGTTAGCATAGCTCTGGCTACTTTAGCTGTGATGCTCTAACACAGCTGTACTGCTTACTCAGCTCCATCGCAGGGACTTTTGCACTGTAATCCACCCAACAGCACCTGTTTGGCCCTCAGGTTTCATTGCTGGAGGGATTTCTCTCAAGGTAGAGGTAAATAGAGGTGTACAAATTCACAGCCCGCGCTCCATTCTAGCAATCAGGCAGTGCCACGTGTGTTAGTTAGCTTGTGTTTAGTTAGTGGTTCACAGGAGCACGTAGTATTTCCCATGTAGTGAATTTACACGAGACAAGTGTGTGTGGTTCACAAAGTATCTAGACTACCTCTGACAGAAAAAGCTAAACTTCTTTCACTCTACACAGTGAGTTAAACTATGAGTTCATTGCATTTTTGGTAGCCTTTGGAAACTTTTATGTTATCCCACCATTGGTGAGGGAGGGCCTGTTTCCAGGGTTTGTTGCATTTTTCTTTTCTGATTTTAGAGAGCGTACTGCCACTATCTCAGATAGGCATAGTAAATTAAGTGTTGTAGGTGGAATTATGGCCCAACCAAATTTAGGTGGTAGCAAACATGAATTAATATCTGAAAATGCATCAAACAGAAAAAGCTAAATGAAATTTAGGGAGGAATATTTCTTCTTTATGCATTCCTAAGGGATTTTTTGTTAGTTCTATATGCCTTCAAGATTTAGCAAATGTATCCTCAAGAAAGGAAGTATTTTGTCATAAATTTAATTCCATTCTTTCTGCACTTGGGTGAAATATTCAAATCAGTCTACACCTTAGTGGATAAATTGAACAGCATTTATCTGTGCCTCGGGTTGTATGTATCTAATCCTGCCCCCTTTTTTAAATTTTTTTTAATGAAAACATGTAGTCCACAGACTACTGCACAGTGCATCTGCAGGGTGTAATTTAATGTGTCCTTCTGTGAACTTTCATGCAGAAAATGTCAGTTACTTACATACCTAAACCATACAAGACATTGCCCTAACAATTCCATCTTCAGAAAGGTTAGTGTGGGGGGATTTTTGATAATGTGTGAATTATTGAGATAGCTTATTTGAAAGGTGGTGAAGAAGAGGAAAATCTTGTGCAGATGGAGAAATAAGGTTTTTTTTAAACTGAGTTTTTTAGCAATTCCGAGTATTTTTTAAAGGTGCTGTGTCAGTGACATGGCTTAATTGAACAGTATCTTATCTATTAAAAAAAAAATATTCTTCATAGTAAGAGGGACCTGTATGCTAACCCTATTCAGTATAAACCAGTTATATAGTAACTAGAGTATTCTTTCTTAGTTCCATACATTTCACTTGTTTGTCGGGTTTTTTTTTTTTGCAATTACTGACAGTATTTTATATAAATCCAGTTTAATCAATGTAGAAATTAATTTTCTGTTTAAATTTTTCCTGCTCTCTATTTCCCTCTGCCTCTCCATAAGGGTAGCAGCTTCTCCAAGGGCACCAACAAAGGAATTTACAGATTCTTCTTTTCACTGACCATGGATTATGCCATTTAACTCTGAAGTAAATCAAACTAGCAATGTCCATGTTCGGGAGGTTAGATTGCAAAAACACTTCAAATAAGGTTATCACAGTGCTCTGCAATTGTTATTCATAACTTAAGATGTAAATTGTCACTGGATTCTGAACTACATGTAACAGATATTTTTCTCCTATCTTTTTCTGTAAAAAATATGCTTTATTCCCATGCCACTTAGCACAAACCCATAGTCTAGGGCTGTATTTATCTGTGCTGCAATTTTACTTGGATTTCACATTGCGTATTTCAGTTGGCACATATATTTTTGGTGCTGTGTTTTGTTTGAGATGAGGTGGGAGGACTGAGGAAGGGGATTTTTTTCTCATCCAAGTTGAGGATTGCCATGCCATACAGCTGTGAGACCCCTTTAATTAAGTCAGACTAAGCTACATCAGATGGGCTGGTATCTGAGTGCACTGTGAAGACAGCTGAGCTGTTGGTGCTGTACTTTAATTAGAACTTTTAATATTTCAGCCCTTACTACCTGAAGTGTGACCTGTCAAGCTGCTGAGATGCTGCCCCTCTTGACAGAGGTGCAACTCTGAGCCCAGGACTGGCACTTACGTGTATCCAATTCGTGTACAATCACTTGGTGGTTTTGTTGTGTTTTCTTTCTTGATGTCCTTGTTGTCTGCACGAGCAGGAAATCACAGAACTGTTAATGCTAAAAGATATTTGGACTTGTTAAATAGCTCATCAAAAGCCAGCCCACGTCTCCTGACCCTAATCTGTCACAAGTGGTTTGAGAGTGTCTAGCAGTTTTGCTTCCCCTAAGACTTGATTTATTATTAAAGCTTTAGAGGCAAAAGAGGCAGCTAGATATAGGACAGAGATCCAAATTAGGGTATAGTTACATGAGCTGCATTGAGCTGACAATGTTTTTCCATGGCTGAATAGGGGATGTTCTCTTCATCACGTTTCTTCCTTTCCCAGCTCACTGTTCTTCCTTCCCTTGTCCCCAGAGGGTCCTCCAAAAGGTGGCAAGGTAGGGCGTACAGGGGTGGGAAAGGCAGATGGCAGTTTATGTGAATTCTCTGTCAACTACTTGGTGTGTCTGCGACTGCTTTGTGTCATCCTCTGCAGTTCCTTCTAGGGAGTGAGTGTCATTAAAGAGTTAATTACCCCATGCAAAGACCCGTTGAAATTGAGAGATAAATGCATATGACTAGTAGTTTTTCACATCTAGGATTTGCTATTAAGTATGTAAACAGCGTTCAACTTGTATTTTGACAACTGGCTCCCCTCTTGGTGTTGATCAGAGCAGTGCATACCCTGCAGCTGGTGCACTGAACCGGAGCTACATTGCTGTTGTTTGATACAGTTCCCAGGGGACATTAAAATATTTCATACACAAAGCTGCTTGATCTCTAGCTCTATATTCTTTGACACTGTCTTACCCTAGCCCAATTTCTTGGCATTAGCAAAACATGTTTCTATGTTAAAGACCACCTGCAGAAGTCAAAAGCCTTGTGTTGGTGCATCACAAGCCAAAGAAGCCGAAGTGCCTTTTCTTCTGTAATACAGTTGCATAAGATATAAATCTACAAATCATGATATGGAATCATGGAATGAACCTCTTCAATCATTTCTCAGGGGGAGGATAAACCTCTTGGAAAGCAAGAGTTATGAATATATATTATAAAATCAACTGACTGTTATCAGAAGAAATAAAATGGCTCAGATGGAGGGCAAAATTATTGTCCATAAATAAAGAACTAGATAAAAATCTAAAAGTTTTTATTCATCTCTGGAATAGCTTATCAGCCTTACTTATTTTGCCTTTACAAGGTCCATTAGGAAATATATTAATAATGATTTTTCTGGCTGAATTCTACTAATTCCTCTCCTCTGGGGTGTATAGTCTCTGCACTCTGGATGTATTTTGCAGCTCTTTCTGTCCTAAACCATTCTGCCATCAGTGCATAGGCACAGTAGTGATCCACTATAATTCATAGCAGTGAGAGCTGAAATAATCCCTGTCCTAAGTTTCCCACACTGTAATGTAGTTTGTATGATAGTTTAACCATGAAATCACAGCTGAGAAGCAGGACCCATTCTTCAACATACATACAGCATGTGATGCAACTTGAACAAAGTGTCCTGAAGGAATTACAAACAAAGAATCTTATTGGAATAATTCTAAATATAAGTAAATCTCTCAGTTCAAATTTGTATTTAGCAGAGAGTGAAGGACAAGCCCTTTTTGGAATTATCTGGGAGGGTGGAACTAGTTTAAAACCAAGAAATCCTGCCTTCAGGTTGTGATCACAACAAAAAATGTCTCTAGGATTAAGTTATAGTAAATGTAATACTAATTAATGAGTTTAATTTTTTTAATGTGCTGGATAGATGATTAAAGTACTTAAGGGGAATTTAGATTTTTTTCCTCAAAATTAAATTTCATCATCAAAAAAAAAAGTCAATCAAAACAGATGTTGTCTTGCAATGCTATATTCCCAACTGATACTTCCTTGAAAATCTGAAGCTAAAAATAGAAAAGCCTAGTGCCAGTCCAAATTTTCCACTTTTTTCCCCAGAAGTTTTTCAATGAAAATGTGGTTTTAGCATGATTTACACATTTTATACATTCTTGTTTAATTCTCTGAGTTGTTTTACTTAAAAATAATCAAGGAATTCAAAACAAATTTATTGGCTGTTTGTGCATTTCTTTATACTGTCAAAGGACATATTGATTAGACATTTAATTTAGTAGAAAAGATCAAAGATTGATGAAATCTTTGATTTTTTAAATTAAAGCAAGTATTTTATATATACAAAAGAATTGTTTAGTTTTCTCAGTGTTCTTTAAAAAATATTTATTTTGACTTGCCAGTTTTTTGGTAAGTAACCTGGGGAAAAAAAAAAAGTTATTCTTAGAAGTCTAGTAAAAAACAGAGGGAAAGTGGCTTTACTAAATTTTCTTTGTCCAACTGAATACAAATAGTGCATACATAGTTAACATGAAGCTTGGATTTTATCAGTCTCTCTCTAATGTCTTTCTTGTTAATAATCGAATAAACTGTTTCACGCAATTTGTACTAAAGTGATAGTGCCTCTTTAAAACAAACTTTCCAGCTTGAGGTTTGCAGTCTACCTATGCATTACAGATTCTAATTATTGTTTTCCTCATTGGTAAAAAACTAAGGGTTACGCCTGTGATTCCTGCATAACAAAAATTACAAAGCAATAATGACGCAGTCCTTTTTTTCCACCTTCTACTGTCTTTAGAGCTACATCTATAATGATCCTATCAGGTACTACATGATGCAAAAACCCAAAGAGCGAGCACCTCCTTTGGCCCATGCATCAGCATCCCATCAACAGCACGCTGAAAATCTCCATGGGAGGACCTTCAGCCAGCCTCAGCCAGACAAGTTCTCGACAGAGTCAGAAATGGGGCTTGACCAAAAAACTTTGATGGCTGCACTGCATACGTACATCACTCAGAACTTGTCAGCGCAAAGCAATGATAAAAGCTCTCACAGCAGGACTAAAGGGTCTCACCTTTATGCTGACAGATTCTACTCCTCGCAAGTCAGTCCTTTTGATGGAACTTTTGCCAAAGGAAAAGCAGAAGATTTTAAAATGAAGAAGCTGTTCCAGCCAAGACCTGCATCTGGAGTGCTGGGGCCAACCCCTGAAATGCTGAATCATAAATCTGCTTCCCAGAAAGATCCAAAGGACCCTCTGAGTGTAGTGGATGGTAAAGTTGATATTTACTTATTTTAACTGATCTGAAGTTTCCCTTATGTTCACTGATCATTTTTCAGAAAAAAAAAGAAAAAAATAGACATTCTGATATATCTCCTACTATTGGCATATTTATATCTACCATAATACTCACAATAATAATGTTCACCATTCTAACTACTCTTTCCATGCAAACATCTACCCACATTCTTCAACCCACCTTCCATATGCATGCAGAAATATATGGCACTCAGTAAGATGTAGCATTTATGTAACTTGTTATATTTTCAAAGCATTTTACAAACAACATGTAATTATGGGTATAACTTTGCTGTCAAATCTGGTTTTATGCATGCATCCCACACTATATATAGGTAATATAGAAATGCCTGGTTTTGTTCTATTTCTCTGTATTTAACTGGAAAGTCAAAGACCATGAGTAAAATTCAAAGTTAGACAGAGAAATTAACACTGAGAGAAATTCTGGCACAGAACACAGAGGGGAGGAGTCAGTCAATTATGTGGCTAGGTGGACACAGAGTAATACAAGAAGGTGAGGTTACAGCTACTTTTCGCTGGAAATTCTATAGCAAACAGCCCATTTTCTGTATTTTCATCTTTTTTGTTAATGCTGCTTAACTATGACCAGATCCTGATTTCTTTTGTATGTGATAGTTTGACAAATATTTAAATGAAGATGGAGTGTAACTTCTCATGGGATACTGTGACACATTTTAAGCGCTGCTTTGTAAGACAAGATGGGTCTTCACGTCATGGCTGGGGATCAGGTAGAGTTTAGAAAATAATTCTCATTCACTTTGTTATTTCTCTAAACTAACCTAACTATTGATGTTATTCCAGTGGTTCAGAGTGCCTGAAAAATGAAAGAATTGATCCTCAGCCATTGCCAAGCAATTACATCTGTTTACACTGTAGTCACCACTATCCCAATGGATTTTGGTGATATGTAAGAGGGTTCCTTTGAATCCCTTCTGTAGTTGTTATCATCCACAAAGTTTAACATTCTTTGATTTGTTTTGGTTTTCTTTTTTTTGTTTTTTTTTTTTTTAACAGAACATACAGAATTGTCAAAGTTGCAGCAGAGGAAAGATAATGCTTGCAATCTAAAAGATGCTCAGAAGTGAAAGCATTCTTGGTATGGTGCCCAGAGATAATAGGTTTCAAGGAACGAACTATAATGTAAAATCAAATCCAGGTGGCACTGTAAGGCTCTTGCACAGGTTAGACAATTTTGTTGCTAGACTCAAAACAAACTAGACACATGCTGGTTTCATTATCCTCCAGCTGTTCCACTTCACCTTTCCTGGTAGGAGCCAACTGGGAAAAAAGTGCTTAACACTTAGAGGGAATAACATGTTTCACAATTCATTGCGTTGTACTGCTTTGACTTCACATACGTAATGTGCCCTGTAGGAACGTCTTCCATTGCATTAGCTTTTAAATGTTGCATAGACATAAAATTATGAATACTTTGCATAGGAAATAATATGGTTTCCTTTGTATTTTTGAGCCACTAAATAGTCTCGTAAGGAAGTAGGGAGGATAGACAGCAGAGTATTCATTGTTTAAAGTGCTCTCCATTGGAGCAATGATGCTTTGGATTCAGATTTGCCAGGCTGACTGCGCCATGTCTTTCTGCTTTTAACTTTTCTCCATTCTCCCTGGTGCTTCTGGATCTTTGTATGCTTGAGGGTCTCTCGCACTCTCTAAACCACAGAACTGTTCAAAAACTGGAAAGCATGGGGTGCAGTCACATGAGCTCAGTTCTCTTCTGCATCAGATACAGGATGAGACAAAGGAACTTGACTGGGATAACAATCCAGAAGGTACTGAGCAGATTAGCACTGAGAACTGCTGCAAAACAGTGGCAGGTAAATTAGCTAACAAGGCACCCTGAGGGAGAAATACAAGAGAAGGAAATGTGGAGCTATTTTTCTATCAGATTTGGAAACTGTTACCTCTGGGAGTAGCATGATGTGCGAGGGTACTGCCTTTGTAGTCACTGTGCAATAGCGGAATCATTAATCTGTCTTCTGCACCAGCCGTATTTAGAATTTGGCTCAGTTTTAAGTGATTTGTTCTAGTCTACTCATTTTTGGTGTATTAAATATTGCAGAATACATCTCTCTGTTGCTTTGGAAAGGTCACAAAATTAGTAATTCAAATGTGTTTTTTCAAAAAATAACAAACTTCCATGTTTATAGAGCAAAGATATTTTTGTACGTCCTCTGTCTTGCGAAGCTGTGTTCACTAATCCGTATGGCGCTCAGCCGCTGGGGATAGTTAATATGTGGTCAGTAGGATGATGGGGTAGAAGAAGACAGACAACCCTGTGGGACTGCTAGCAAAGTTACTGCTGCCATACCATTCGGTTGTCAGGCAAGCTGGCTTTGGCAGTTGTGTCAAAGGAGTATGGAGCATGATTTATATGCCGTGCAATGAAAAGCTCTTTTCTCTTGCTAAGCTGCTATTGTTACCTACTAGGGGAATTCTGCTGGTGAAGCTGATATTAAAAATTACATCATCTAAGATACATGTCCCTTTACTGTCATCATGGTTCCAAGGCAACTATGAAAGGCAACTTGCCTTCTTCAGTTCGGAAGCTGGAGCTAAGGGAGAAATCTGGTTTGCAGTACAAGCCCTGTGAAACATGGCTGAGCATTACTATTTAGAAGGGGTCAGTGGGAGAGTACTGCTGTGCACAGGTGAGAGAGGCATGTGCTACCTAGGTGATGTGCCACTGCAGTATCCATCTGCTTTTTGGTCTTTCTCCCGCAATATTTTCTTGTTTTAATAAAGTCATAATAATTTCTTTAAATTACCCAAAAGTGTTTATAAATAGAGGCACTGATTTTATTTGTGTATCAGCCTTATCCAATAATATGCAAATGATATACAAACATGGACAAGTGCCATAATAAGAAGCAGAAACACCCATATTTGGCATGGACGTGTATTAACATCGTATCAGTAACTCATGAAGTTATCAAGACTCTTTATGTAGACCTCCATTTCACCAGGCTATTATAGACATTTCAATGACTGTTCCTGCTACTATACTGAACACATGATGCTCCTCATACTTCCTAGTTTTGGTTATTGCCTTTGGGTCCTTGACATTTTAAAGAACACTTGTAGTTGTTTAGTAAAGGTAGCATATAATAGCTAAGTTTTACTCATGTTGACACAAGTCTGTATTTAGGAGTTTGTTTGATGAACTCTGTCCAGGTAGCATTGACCACGGCAAGAATAGCAGCATCAGAGGAGCAGGAAGCTCATCTATAATGGGTTTATTTAATGAACCAGAAGGACCTGCAGCGAGACTGTTAGTGTTATCTGGGGTAGGGCTTGTGACCACTCATTTTCTCATGTGATTCCCCGCCCTGTTCCCCATTTCCATCTTGTTTGAGATTGAGACTGCTTTGTTATTGACTATGAACCTGTGGAAGTGGACTGGAGAGATAAGACTTGGCTAAGATAATAGATACAAAGAAAAGGCAGTTTGGAAAAAAATTAAATGGAATGGAAATGACAAGGCTATATTGACTGCATGTTGTTGAGTAGCTCAGTAGTTGGTCTTGACAGCTAGCTGTGAAACAACTGAAATAAACAAAAATCTAGTAGTGGTACATAAATACAGCTCTTTTAATTATATGTGTCCTGAAATATAATTCTCTTTTAAGATTCGTCTTCAAAAGTTGATGTAATGGCCAGTGACTACCTTAAATAAAATTTAACAGGCAAATGCAGATGCAAATTATTTTTCTGAGGCTTAAAACTTGCTTTCAGCTTGGAAACCTCAGGTTGCTGATTTTTCAGATCAGAATTTTGAGCTACTTTTGACTTGAATCTGCTGCTGAATTCCTGTAATTTGAACTAGTTTTTTTATCATAAATGAATGAACATTGTTTGTACAAATTTTACTCAATGATGCAATTGCTTTTATGCTGTTCCATTTGCTGGAATTTGCTTGAAACACCTCTCTATGCATTTTGCTAAAAACTTCATAGTATAACTAATCACTGTTTTGAAGTATTTTAAGAATCTTGGTCCCTTATTCAGAAAATAGATAAACTTTCAGGGCTCTAACATTAACACTGAGTAAACTTGGGAATCTGAGACTCTAAATTTGAAAAAATAGTGCTACTAGGCATGTAAGTGTTTTTGATTTTTTTTCATAAATCCAATTTCTTGGTAAGATGTTTCCTAATAGCTTGAAAATCACAGTAATTGAGTGACATTCTTCTCAACGTGTTATGGCTAGAAAACAGGGGTTCTAAGTGAAGGGAAAAGAAATGCGGTTTCTGTTCTGAAGTTGAACAAATCAAAAATGCTTCAGAAATATTGTAGGAAAGTGAGTGAGTGATCCTAAAGCAGTCAGTATCATATAATAGTTAGGAAACTCATCTAGATTGTGGGAAACTCATGTTCAAGGCTCTAATTAGCTGGCTGTTTGGGGCATGTTCTCTCTTTGCCTAAAATTGAATGTTAATGAATGATGTTTGTGTGACTTAGAAACCTTTCATTCTTGGCATAGATGTTTTCTAAGACCATTCCACATTTACAAAGGGTTTGGAAATAGAGAGGTTTAGAAATACAGAGGTGGATTTTTGATCAGCACTAAAAATTATTATAAACATTTGTAAATATTATTCCACATGATTGAAAAACCCTGCAAAATCTCATTCATAGATTGTTAGCTGCTGCATGTCATGGGTTATTCATATCAATGGATAAATGGCAAAAACTCTTGAAACAGAGAGTCACTGAAATCATCACAGTTTTCATTCTTTTGCACATGCACTGATGTCAGGTAATCAAACAGTGTTCCAAGAACACTTTTTCCTGCTGTGATGTGCCTTACGATGTGTCTTTATACATTTAGTTGAAAATTTTAGTTTTGATTTGGAACTGACATATTGTCTTTTCTTTGCTGATTTTATTAGCTTTGCTTCAATAATTTAGCTTTTTCTGTCAGGTTATTGTCCAATAGTTCTATAAAACATAAGAACAGAAATGATACCTAAGCAGACACAAGGCTTCTGTGGCAATCTGGCAGTGCTAGTATTTCCTACTGCTTAATTTCCTGCATTGCTCCTATGTGTAACATCTTCTCCTAATGGCCATCTTCAAGGTAGCTGTTGTGCTTCTTGAAAAAGTTTCTTGAACTCCGTTTGAATCAATTTGCTTTTGCAGATTACCTTCCTGAACAAAAGCATTTGGTCATTATGTTTTTACTGTATTATTAAATTCATAACAGGGTATGGATGGAATACAATGAAATGTGGAAAGTATTCAACATTTTCTGTGAAGTGTTACTCAGCTTCTGTCAAACTTCAGTCCTAATTTTGCTGCTTCCAACTATCTTGGCCCAGAGTGTTTGGCATAGGTTATGAGATTAAGTCTTTGACTCTCGTTTATGAACACTTGCTTTCCTATACACAGCACTGTGCTATTTCAGGATGGTACCATAATCTTTGTTGGCTGCCACAGTTTGAAGCAGCATCATAGATTTAACCTATCTTTTTTATTGATAGTTGCCCTCAAGCATGTTTAAAACTATGCTTTTGTAAGTAAATTTCAAAAGTTCACAGCATACAGCCTCAGCTGAATTTTATAATGAAATCAGTATGACTTTGTAATGTCATCATGGTGTATTATTGGTAAGGTGTACTTTTAACCTGGAAAACAAGGTACATCAGAGCACCATCTTCCCCATGTGTCAAAACCCTCCTTGACTCACAGTAAACCTACTATTTAAACTGCTTAATTTATCTTGGTTTATATTGACTAATTAGTTTAGGGAAAATGGCATTAATTTAGTTGGTGAAGTATGGGACAGGTCAGAGGAAATTAATCTCTGCCTTGAGACCGCACTGAGCAGCTGATGGTCAGCTGCAAGCTCTAACCTCTTCAGCTAACACTGTGGGGCCTAAAAAATGACAGACATGTCCATGGTCTTGGCCCCTTTTCCCAGTGACAAATAATCCTTGATTCTTGTCTCCCTGCAAGATAACAGGCGTTCTGCTGCCTCTTCCCTGGAGCAGAAGAATCTCTAATGACTTCTTCTTTCCTACTCTCTAACTACTTCTTCCTCCTTTGCTGTGAGAAGAAAAACCTTCTCTTTAGCCCCTTTTCTAGTAGTGTTTTCCCCTTTGCACACCTACTTTTTAATTCACCTTTATGTAAGCCTGAAAGCTGACAGCGTGGTCCCAAAGTCTTGTTTATGGATGATGGTGAACATGTCTAACCACAGGGCTTAACAGGGAGAATGTTACTGTAAGAAAAAAGGTTGGATGTTACTGTCAAACTGCTTATGTATAAATTCATACATTCAACAGAGATTTAAAAGCAGTCCATATCGTCCTCTTCTTACACAATACTAGGAAGAGTTTTCTTGCTTGCATGCATATGCATATGTATGCTAAATTCCTGATCAGCATGAATAAGCAGAACACAGGGATGTTGAAAATGGTTTTGGAATGCTAGAATAAGCCCTACATTTAGTGTCTCATACTCCAAGGGACATTAGGCTGAGTTTTGCAGTTATGCAGAATGGTAGTGAAGGATATACACAGTCAGAAAAGTACCTTCCCTGAAGAGCTGTTATGCTACATCTTCTAACTCACCTTTAATATCCATTGTCCTTGAATTTCCTCATCTTCAAAACTTTTGTCACATCAAGGTTGTTTTGTTTTGCTTTGTTTTGGGGTTTTTTTTCCCTAAATATAAGTCCATTTGCTTTTCCTGGCCTGGAATGTCATCTTAACATTTCTTTCCTCAGTATGACCGATAAAACATTCATAGCTGACAAACCAAAACATTAAAGTTCACTTTTGACAAAATATATATTTTCCAAGAGAAATCAGTACCATTTAGAAGGTTTGTACATTACACATCCATGTATGTAAAGGTCATATATCCATATCCACTTCTAACTGAACAGGAGCTCTTTGATTGAAAGAAAAAATATCTTACTCTTTCTTTTCCAGAACTCTATATAGCTATTTACCTTGCAAAAACCAAATCACCAAAGAAACCTGATCTCTATGGAACAGTAGTATTGGTTGCGCTATCTTAGTGCAGCTAAATAAAATTAAGCTACCTTAACACTTGTCTTCAATATTTTGAGTTGGTTTAGACTAGAAAACAATGCTCTTGTAAAGAAAAAGTGAAAATTTTATACCCCTCTCTCTAGGACAACTTGCTGGGTTGTAGTGGCATACATCCCCCAGTACCTGGCACAGATGCACCTTTGTCATAAGCTCTGACATCCATTTATAATACTGTTTTTTCTGTAAAGATGGCAGCATTAATGTGTATGCACTCTTTTGGAAAACAGATGCTCTCCATGAAGGAAAAGCTATCTTTTAGGAAATATGAAAGTTACTTACTGATACAAGCACATGTGCTTCATATATGCAGCTGAATCTTGTGCTTATGTTGTTTTGTCATCCAGAGACACTTATTAAAGATGTGTTGAAAAACCTAGAGAAACACCAGGTGAATGTGGAGAATCTCAGCTCAACAGAACTGGATGAGATTGCTGATACTATCGCCAATGCAATTGAAACTGTTGGCATTCAGGAAGAAACGGAGGAGGGTGCTGGAAAAACTAGAGAAGACAAAACAGAAGCACAAATTGAAAAAGGAGGTGCTCAAGGAAGGGCAGAGATTCAGACTGGATTCATGGAAAACAGTGTTAACATACCAGGTAATAATTCTAAGAGTTAAGTACAGCAAAAGATAGCTACCCTAATTTTCCTTTATTGTGTCACAATAGTGCTAGACTTTTTAAAATCAGTTTTAAAGAGGACAAGAGGGAAAGTTTCTCTATTTTTCCCTGAAGGCTGCATAATTTTAGCTTTGTTGTTTTCTTTTTGCAGCAGATACTTTATCGAAAATGCATCTTTTTGTGAGCCCTTGGTCTTCAAGTTTTGCAAACAAGATAAACCTACACAGCCAATTATATTGAAATATGAATTGCTTTATGCTGCGTGGTCTAATTCCCCTTTCTTGAAAGTGATATGATTAAACAAAATGATAATGAAAAATTATTATATTCCTAGAACATGTTTCAAAATATGTGGGGGGAAAATTGTGTTTTACAGATAATTGTTCTTTAATGTACCACAACTACTTGCAGAAGAAAGTCTTAGGCAGGTACAGGTAGAAAACTACTTGTTCTCTTTCCTGCTTAGGGAAATAAGAGTTGTTATTGTTATTTGCTTCGGTCTAGGGACACATTTTCTGGTGATGCAGGTTCAGGGGCTACAGTAATTGCCATTAATGAGTTGATACCACAGTGGCACATAAGTTACCACTTCCCATTCTCTATTTAGGAATGTTATGATGTCTAGGACACCAAAAATATATGCTATGAGTAATAAACAGTGATTTAACTTACTGTCTTTTTTCATGGTGATATATTGAAAAACTTACTAGTTAGGGATGGATATCCTGGTTATTTTAATTGGCAATGCTTTTTGTAGATCAAAATGAGCAGACTTGAGGGTTTGTCCTGAATCATGCTGGGAGAGGTGAATAAGACTCAGTTCATAAACCAGAAAGCCAGGATTATTTGACTGAGGTTAATGATGTGACTGCGTATCATCACTGTAGTTAAACTGTAACACAGTTTTGGTAGATGATATCTATTGAAATAAGTTGTCTTCTTCCACCCAGATATGTATGAGAGAAGTATATGTTTCCTTTTTCTTTAATGTAAATTTTCATTCAGCTAACTAGAGCCATTTTATTGTCTTTTTCTTAGATATTGATAAACTGATATGAAGATTGGACACTTAATTAGTCAAATAACACTATTACATTGGCTCTTGAAGTACTCTGTCTATTGATCTTGCATTAATTTGCTATTGAAGTGGGGTTAGAATAACAATACTGAATTATACAGTGCTCTTTACGCTGCCCTTTCAGCTTTGATGTCTTAATGTTTAAATTGCATGAAAAGGCCACCACTACAAAGCAGCCTATAAGGGTGTTTGTTTCATATATGATGTTTCCCTTCATGACTATGTATTTGTGCTTTTCATATTCTACAGACAATGGAGTGCATGAAGCCAGTGCAAGAACTGATAAAGAGGTAGAGTACCAGTGTTTTAACAAAACAAGTATTCCATCTCAGTATATCAGGTCTATATGCAGCGAAGGTCACAACCACAATTCCAAGCATAAGGCTTGTTTTCTGTCTTGTGTGGATATAATTCAGTATCACAGCATAGGCATATTGTTGTTGATGCATTGAAATATTAAATGAACATTTATTTAAATCTTAACCAAAATGAGTTTTGCAGTTCAAAAAACCAAAATCAAGTGCTGTTTTGCTTTTCTTTCATTTGTAAATACGCAGAATTCATAACAGATCCCAAAGTTCAGGCAAATTCAGGCTTTTCCTCAGGTTAGAAAATTTTGAGTATTGAGGTGTTCTTGAAAACACCCTTCTTTCACCTGTCCTTTGGCTCATAGTTCTGGGGAATGGAAGCATCCTTGCTCAGATAATCTCTCTGGTTTTCAGAAGCAGATGAGTAAACATATTCCCTCCGGGGGCATGTGTTTGTGGAAGGGTTCAAAATTCCCTCTCATTTCATGGGATCTGTCATTCTTCACTTTTTCACTTTACCATTATTTTTTCCAAATTGTTGAATATCAGAGATATTTCAATAGCTCTAGGCATTACATCTTGTACACTAGGTGGTAACATCAAATTTAGGATTTTAATTCAGATTACTTTTATAATATTCCTCATGAGCTTTGACTCATATCCTACAGACTTATGTCCAATAGTCAGCCATTTTTGAGGTATCTTTCTGGGTTGTATGGAGCAGAAAAATCTCAAAGAAATATTCTTAAAAACTGCCATGAAACTTATATTCTCTATCAAAAAGCTAACACTGCAAGACACATAAATGGGCCAACCCTCTTGTGTTTGTCACAATTTCTAGAAATGAGTAAGTGAAACATAACTCGTCAGGTAATATCTATTCCCTTTCCTGTGTTATGACTTGTAAGACCCAAGAGGTATGCATGTTTCCAGTCCCAACACTTAGGCATATTGATGGATATTTCTATTATTTCTCCTTTTCATTAATTTATTTCATAACAAAGTTTTATTCTCATCAATACTTAAACGCAGATACATGAAAATGAACACTATGAAAATACCATCAGCATTTTCTTCTAGCTGTTCAAGATAGAGAAAAGGTTATCTAGATTCTGTGATATTTGAAGAAGAAAGTAACTGTTAACTATAGAATTTCCTTGCCCTTATTAAAACTGTTGAAAAATACAATGACAGCATATAGAAATTAAGAAAATGACGATGCGACATTTGTGTGAATAGATTCTATCAATACTCTGTCAACCTTATATCAATAAGAGTTTGAAAGATTATATCCAGGTTTGGTTCAGTATAACATTCCTGTGTTTAGTTTTAAAAATAATAATATCCTTTTAATACAGGAGAACACTGCAAAACTAGTTAACTTCTTGAATGAGAATGTATTTCCCGAAAATATGCCGACAGACCTTATACCTGAAGAACCTACTAAGACAGAAACCAAGAAATCTGAAGACATTGACTCTGCTTCCTCAGAAGAAAGAAATGCTGGTGTGGAAAATGTAAAAAGTGAGACTTTCTCAAGGGAACTGACAGCTGCAAAGAACAGTGACTCTGACTCCAAAGACCCGAGCGAGACCAGCTACTGGATTAAGAACCCTTTAATGCAGGATGGAAATGGCTATGAAGAGCCTCAGAAAAATATGGGACAAGGCTTACAACTTGAAGTGAAGTCTTCTGAGGAGAAAGAATACGGCTATATTGTGACAGAGAAAGAGTAAGTACAGCAGCCAATTTGAATGGCATTTTTAACTGGAGAAAAGGTAAAGTCATTGCACCTAATGAAATATGAATGTACAAGAGGAAAATGCCACAGGCCTGATTTTTAATACATCTGAAACTGTTTGGAACCTGTTCAGTACTTTGATGAAAATACAAGAAAACAGTTCCATTTTCTTACAGTTGCCTTTCCTCCTATGCGGAAGATATTTAGTTTGCAGGTCTTTTGCTTAGACCTCTTTCTATCTTCTCATGTTCCAGTGACCTTCCAATATGTCAGTAAGTGTGCTTATGGTTAGGATGTGGGCTTTAAATATTTGACTTGAAAGTAGCCTAAATATCAATGCCTGAGTCATTCTTTCAAAAAATGACACACAATAATAAAGCACAATATTTTCTCAGTAGTTTCATTTTGATCTGAAAATAACACATATAGGAATCCAAACATCACATATGCAGCTAGTTTAGAAAGAAAGACCTAATGATTTCAGGTCATGTCACTAATGAATTTGACATTTAATACTATACTTTCAAAAGACAGCTTTTGTTCCCCTGGCGATACACAGTTTATTATAAGAACATTCGGGATTATAGAACCATGTGGGCACTTTTACATCCTTTCCTTCCCTGTGAGAACAATGTTATATTTGGTTAGTGATCCCGACTCATCTTCTCTGACAAATTAGGAATTTCTAGGATGGGCATAAAACCTCTGCATAGCATTACAGACAAACTGAGACTGAAACTTCTGTAGCATGAATTAACTCTTTTGACTGTCTCAAACTTATTAATGGGATTGAAGACAATAGGATTGTGGAGGATTCTAGTTTTTACCACATTGTTGCTTTGAAATGCATGTGGCTGGCTATCAGAGGACAGCTTCTTGTTCACCTTCTCCCAGGGGCTACACTTGAAAAAGATGGGATCACACAGAAAGGATGCCCTTTGGGGGGAAGAGATTTTATGTGGTGCATGAAGGGACAGGCAGAAGAGAGTAGAGTGAAAGCTGAGGCTTGGGAGCCTGCGAACATTAGAGACAGACAGAGACAGAGACTTCTCAAAAAGTAGGGAACAAACACCCACTCCTCAGAGATGATGGAAGGAATATGTTTCATAAGGACTCAAAGGTTACCCTGCAGAAAATATAAGTTAGTTACTGGAATGAGAGATGCTGAAGGAAAGGGCTCACCTTGTGAGGACATAGTGGGGATGAGAGTTATGTTAACAGATGCTGGCATTGCTATCTTGTCTCATTCTGAGTTTTATTTTTACCATTTTAATGTTAAATTTTATTCACTCTCTAAAGAAACCCAGCTCTAGAGTTTAGAAAAGACCTTTTGGGTGTTTTGGAGTACTTGCTTTAAGGGAAGTCCCAAATTATTTGAAATTCTCATACTTCTGTTAACATGTCTGTGTGTCAGTAATCACTGTTATTCATTATTTAATGACCAAGTGCTTTGGATTTAATTAACCAGTTTTAAACTGCTTTTGCAATTACACTTTTCAGTTGTTTTCCTGTAATGTTCATTTTCATTGACTGGTCCCTGTAGCAGGCTCACTATTCTCAAGAACCTGCTCCAGGAGAAAGCTAGTTATTACAGAGCATTCTTCCAGCTTGTTGTCCAGGTTATACCTTAGTCCTTCAGGTAGGTTACATTTCTGTTTGCTTTTTGTCAAGGGGGCACTCAGGAGTCTCCTTCTGTGGTTTTTAAACCAGTCTGCCAGAAATTGATGATGTACCCTAGTTTAATCACACCTCTTGGTTCCTGCCTGTGAATGCTCTGTGAAGCAGTAGAAGCCAGTTGTTCCTCAGCTCAGTGCTACTTCCCCCAGGCCTTTACATCAGTCTGGAAGGCGGCTTTGTATCCAACAGTGCCTTAACGACACCATCGCCCTTGACTATCCAGACTTATTTGGCTCATAAATTCTCTAAAAGCTTAGAGCTTTCACAGCTCTGTGTAATGGGAGACATTCTGACTTCCAGTGTTCACAGCATGTAGGTTCTTCACTGTGTCATCTTACCTGGTTTTCTTTGTAGCTAGTCCCCCACTGATGGGTTTTCCCTGAATTGCGTCTATTATTATTCAATGAAACTTGCTCAAGAGGGTCGTTTGTCCAAAGTTTCCTAGAGGACTCCATATACACAAATATAATTTAGCATAGATTTGTTCAGCTTCTTTACCATTTTCAATACCAGAAACACAAAAAGGACTTTTCTTATATACTAGATTATTAAAATTTTAGTAACATTTGGGCAAGATGCTTTTAGGTAACCATTGGGATGTTGTTAAAAATGCTCAGAAACAATGAGAAAAAATTTGCAATGAGTTAGAGGAACCTACTTCAAATGGTTTGAATTCAAAAATATAAGTTTATCAAAAAATTTTTGGTTTTTAATAGTAATGAGCTCATTACACAAAGCACAGAAAACTTAACTGATAACTCCTCGCTACATTCTTGCCACTTTGAGTACAACTAGATGTCATCTTCTCCAAAGTCACCATAGAGAAAAAGAGAATAAGCTGTCATGCTTTTTTTTCCCGGTTCCTAGTCTAGAATAAGTTAATTGTTAAAGAGAATTAGCTGATTGAGTTGAACTAAAGAAAAATTCCTTTTGTACCAGGATTACGTTGCGTTTGATCTGCAGCAAACAGATTTTGGTTCAGGGTTCTTAGCCAGTGACTTATAAAACTCTTCAGTCATTTGACCCTCCTCAGCATTTCAGCTCCAAAATACACTGGTTTAATTTTTGTTGTTGTTTTTGTTAAACTGTTTTTTTTAATAGGTCTATCTGAAATGTAAGAGTAAAATGGAAACCCCATATTTTGCAAAATAAAATTTATATATTCTGGAATTTTATAAGAATAACAAAACCTGTTCAGGAAATTCCACCTGTTAAAAATTGACTTGTCCACTCTGCAGGAACAGTGAAATACTTTCTACAGCAGCTGAGGGATCCGTTACATACTAGTATTTCCCACAACCATTTCTTTAGTACATAAAGTGGCCTTAGAGAGCAATTGGATCAGTGTAGCTGAGAGTTTCAGTAAGGACCTGTTTTCGTGAATGTTGCTGTAATTGTATTTTTTCTTGGGGAAGAGAAGATAGAGAAAGGGATGTTTTGAAACTGTCATTGCACAGAAGAGAAATTTTAATGTCCATTTAAGAAACTTTTCTTTAGTAAGCTTTCTGTATCATTAAGTTTTTGTACCAAAAATCTTACCGGTTGCTTGCAGTAAATAAATAGTATTAATAAATGGCTTAGGTGCGTGCTACACATTTATATGTAACTGTACATGCATGTTATAGTCGTACAGTGAAGTAACGTATTATTTTTCACAGCACCTGAGTAGAATGCCAGCTACCTCAAATTAAATGCACAGAAATGCATGTATGATCCAATTAAGTTAACATGTTGTGAACAGATTTACAGCCTATATAATTTTACATAGACAGTCTGGAATTAAGGGTTAACATATGACAAAACAAAATATCCAGGAATTGACTTAACACAACAATGCCAGGAGTTGGCTGGACAGTAACAGCTGGAACTATTCCTAGTCAGATCTTTAATCTATGTCAGTCTAAAATTACTTCTGTTTGAGAGGTGATTGTAGTCTGGAAATAGTCAGTAAATTGATTTCACAACTGATCTTTGATATTTCATATTTAGATCTTTACGCTTGTTGAAATAGAGTGGAAGCCGGAGCTAAAGGTAGGCATGAAATAATACCTTTCTAACAGCCTGCGTATTAGTCAAATTCATATGTGAAGTATCTTTCTTGCGACAATTATTACATTTAAAATTATAAACCTAAAATTATGATTTAGGTGGGTTTTTTTAATCCACTCTTAACTTGTGCACACAAAATGAAATGCCAAAATATAATGAGAGGTACTTATTTATTTTCCGATACTACTATCTTTGTATGTTTTTCTTCTTCCTCCATAAAGCAATAGGTCTTAGTTTCAATCCATCAATTTTTATTGGCTATGATTTTTTTTGAGCAGCGAAACTTCATTTTTACAGCTGAAACGGTGGTCTTCTGGTGAGAAAGGGAAGTAGTCCAGCATATTTGTACACTGGGGATAATAGCTTGAGTTCTTTTCACCTTCTGGTCTGAAAGTGGAACTGAAAAGATTATACTCGGTAGTATAGTTGGCAGATGTCAGGGGTGATCCATTCACTATTAGATTCTCAGGCTTCCACGGCTTTGCAAGTGTGGCCCAAGGAGATATTAAGATTGCTTCAGTGAACTCCTAAGATGCCAGCTTTTAATTGTGCCACAAAGCAAAGATAAACATTTCCATGTAATACTTGAAGAAAAGATTTGTGGTAGTTTAAAGACTTGTCAAAACGGCAGTCTGATTGTCAATGGCAAGAACAATAGGTCACTCCTGCTGTGTTTGTCGAGTGACCTTTCAGATGGTTGGAGCAGTGCAATCCATACCAATCCATAATATCCATCAGTACTAAGCTTCAGAATGAATTGACAGTTTCAGTGTAGAAAATTGTCCGGCAAATCCTCCACTCTGCTGCTTCAGCACTTTATTATGCTGAGAAACCAATCAAATTGGGTGATTTACTTTGTTTACTCTTTTCTCCTTCAAAAAATTGGTATTCTACCACTGCAGGATTTGTGTGAAAGAGGTTTGCTTCTTTCTCAGTGTAACTGCTTTGAACTGTTTCTACTAATTTTAGCTCTGAAATTCTAGCGCAATCATAAAACAAAGTTATCTGCAGGATGATATTTTCATTCATATGCTGCTTTGGCGATAGTTATAAAATACCTCTCCGTTCTAGTGGGGATACATCAATGTAAGCTCTCAAATCACAGAAGTCTTTGCCTTTGGACCAGAGAACTATTCCTATTTTCTGAAATTCTAGTTCTTCAAGTATGGAAAACTTTTTTTGGGGGCTGGAAAAAATGCCAACACTCCCATTTGTCTGGCACGATATGTTCTAAGCTGAGGGCCAAGATCCCACAATCAAAACAT